CCCCCCCCCCCCCCCCCCAGGGGTCGCGCCCCTCTATTTGAGAAGGACTGGTGTAGAGTACTGATGGTGAGAGCTCAGGACTGCACTGAGGCTGAAACTTTTTTGATTTTTTTTGTTCAAACTGAACGTTTCTGTTTGATGAATAAACTCATTTCACATGTTATGCTGATGATTGTCAGATTTATCTGCCATTAAAACCCAACAGCTCCATTCACCGTCCGTTAAAATGTCTGGATGACTTTTAAGGCGTGGATGGCTTCACATTTTTTAAGTTTCAACGATCAGAAAACTGAAGTCTTTGTGTTTAGCCGTAGCTCTACTGCCGTCTGTGATCCTGCTCACCTCGACTCTCTTCAGCCGTATCTTAATCAGTCCGTTACAAATCTCAGGATGGTTTTAAGTTTAATAAACAGATTAACTCTGTTCTACAGAAAAGCTTCTTCCAGTTAAGGCAGATAGCTAAGTTCAAGTTCATGTTGACCAGGTCTGACCTTGAATAAATAGTCCTTGCCTTCATTACAACCCAGCTGGACTAATGTAACGCACTTTATATTGAGTCAGTCAGGTCTCCACCTCACGTCTCCAGCTCGTCCAAAATGCTGCAGCTCGGCTCTTGACAGGAACTCGTAGGTTTGATCATATTTCCCCAGTTCTGTCCTCCCTTCACTGGCTCCCTGTACGTATCAGAATAGATTTAAAAATTCTCCTGTTGACCTTTCAGTGCCTAAATGACCTTGCACCCTCATATCTCTCTGACCTACTTCAAGCGTGTGCTCCTTCTCGGGTGCTGAGATCATCAGATCAGCTGCTTTTGGCTGAAGCTCAGAGGAGATTGGGCTTTTTCAGCTGCGGGCCCTGAACTCTGGAACAATCTGCCCCCCAACATTAGACAGGCCACTTCACTTCCTGTTTTTAAATCTTAAAAACACACGTTTTCACTGGCTTTTAGCACAGTGTGTGATTTGATTCAATATTTTATTGTTTTGTGTTTGATGATTTTCTTTGGACGCTTTTAATTGTGTTTTTTTCTTTAAATTGCTGCTGTTGATTTTTATCATGAGGCACTTCGGTAACAGCTGCTGTTTTTAAATGTGCTTTATAAATAAATTTGACTCGACATCTGTTTCTGTCTCCGTCTTCTCTCTGCCTGTCCCGGTTCCAACCTCCTCCAGCCTGAAAACGAGGATGCAATAAATTCTGGTGACACGGTGTCCATGGATCCACAGCTGGAGCGGCAGGTGGAGACCATCCGGAACCTAGTGGACTCGTACATCGGCATCGTCAACAAGTCCATCAGGGACTTGATGCCCAAGACCATCATGCACCTCATGATTAACAATGTACTCTTTTTTTTATTTATTTATTATTTTAGATATTTTGTTTTAGAGCAGCACCAAACATACTTCATGTTCAGCCCAGCACCAGAATGGTGGATTTTATAAAACAGCTTTAGATCTAACTTTCTAGTGAGCAGAGATTTTAAGTGAGCTTGAAGATTTACTGTACCGGTAAATATAAAGTATGGTAAGTGTTAATGTTGTGGTCTATTTTTCTTCCATACATTTTTTGGCGTGATTTTCATCCCACAGTTTTCAAACTGTTTCAACAAATCACAAATCAAAACATTCAGCTCTTTCAGGACAATCCTGCTCTGACTTTTGGTCTTAGTGCAGTTTTAGCTTTTTGAAATATTTAGACATTTCTGCCATTTTGTTCCTCATAGAAAATGAATTGAGCTCCATTTACCTTCTTCATATTTTTAAATCTGTTTGCAACCTTTTACTGCTCCTTTCACATTTTGTTCTGCTTCAACTTTTTTCAGCTTCCTTGTGCAAATTAAAAAAAAAATTTCTAGCTACTTTCAGCTTTTTTCCCCCCAGCTGTTTTACGCTTCTTTTAACTTCTTTCTGCTAATTTCAGCTTATTAGACTCCTTTCAACTTATTTCTACAAGTTGTAGCTTTTTCTGCTATTTCAGCTACTATTTAGCTGTTTTTATGCTCATTTTAGCTTTTTTGGCTAATTCCACATTTTTTACACTCGTTTCAAATTTTTTCAGCCCAATTCGGAAAAAACGTGCTCGCTTCACCTCCTGGTAACTTAAGCGTCTTCCTGCTTTTTTAGCTACTTTTCAGCTGCTTATTTGTTAATTTCAGCCTTTTTCAGATAATATCCCCTCCTTTGTGCTCATTTCTGCTTCTTTCAGTCTAGTTGGACAAACGTTCTTTCTGCTTTCTTCTGGTAATTTAAACTTGTTCTAAATTTCAGCTACTTTTTTTTTTTTTTTTAGCATTTTTTTTTTAGTTGATGTCAACTGTTTTCTGATAAATTCAAGTTTTCCATGTTAATTTCCGCTGCTTTCAGCCTAATTAACTTTATGCCGATTTTAGCTGGTTATGTTCCTTTCAGCTTTTTTCTGCTAGTTTCAGCTTTTTCTGTTATTTCAGCTACTATTTAGTTCTTTTTCAGCTAATTTGAGCTTTTTCAGCTAATTCCACTTTTTTTTTTTTTTTAGCTCATTTCAGTTTTTTCCGCTTCCTTCTGGTAGTTTAAGCTTCTTTCTGCCTTTTCAGCTCATTTTTTTTTTACTAATTTCAGCTTTTTCTTAGCTAATTTCCTAATTTTTGTGCTAATGTCTGCTAATTTAGGCTAGTTTTTCATTTTCAGCTACATTTCAGCTGTTTTTCAGCAAGTTCTTCTGTAATTAGCATTCACACTGCTTTTTTGCAGGAAATCAAATTTGTCTAGTTGCAGGATATGATGTAACATGGTTACAAAATAAATGGGTGATTTTGAGCCAATCAGTCAGAAACATTTCTTGGATTAAACGAGTTTTAATCAGACTTAAAGCTGAGATGTTGATATCTTCACTGAACTTTTAAACGTTTAAGTCTGTATATTCAGCATGTCCAAGATATGAAAGTGTTTTTTCTCTCTCCTCTTTCAGACGAAGGACTTCATCCACTCGGAGCTGCTGGCCTACCTGTACTCAGCCGGAGACCAGGGCAGTTTGATGGAGGAGTCGGCGGAGCAGGCTCAGAGGAGAGACGAGATGCTGAGGATGTACCACGCTCTGAAGGAGGCGCTCGTCATCATCGGAGACATCAGCACCACCACCATTTCTACCCCCGTACCCCCACCTGTAGACGACACCTGGATCGCCAAAGATGTGAGGTGAGGAAAGTTATTCAAACGAATAAAACACCTTGAAAAGTTAAAAATGTTTAAATAATATCTCTGTTAGGTGATGCACAGGATTCTTGGTAATCGTGTAAAGAAATCTTTAACCAAACTTAATGTTTAATGTAAATATTATTACTTTATGTTTAAAATTGTGCTTTTTTTTTTCTGCCTTCTCTCTGTTCGAACACTTGTTTATACAAATGTCCACCAGAGGTCATTTAATAACTGATAGATGTGAAACTAGCTGCACAAACATGTAAAGCTGTTTGTTTGTTTGTTTACGCAGGTAATTTCTCCGAGTTAAAGGACTTTAATAGTCCTAGTAGTTTTGAGTTTTTATTTAATTTATGTAAAATATATATTTGACATTAAAAAACAAACCTAAATCCAAATTGTGCATTTTTATTTATTTTTTATTATTATTTTCAAATTGTGAGCATAACTTCTGATCCGCTCAAGATAATTAAATAAAAATTTATACATGTGCATCTTCACTAGACGGAGGGTCCGTAAACTTTTCATCACGCAGGCTTCAGGGTCAAGGTCACAAATCGAGGTCAAATGTCATCCAAGGTCATTGCTTGTCCGGGCCACTTCTATAGATCGCTGTGATAGTTTGACGGGCGTAAGAAAATTATTCTGTAACATTTTGTCTTTTTTGTCACAGCCCTCCCTCAGCGGCTCGTCCGGCCACATCCACGGCAGCCCCTCCCAACAGACCCCCTGCAGTGAGGGGACCCACCCCCGGTCCACCTCCACCTCTCAACCCCTCTCCAGCATTCGGAGCTCCACCCGTTCCCTCTCGGCCTGGCCCTCCGTCAGCCTACGCAGGCGATGCCAACTCCTCAGTGCCGCTTGTTCCATCCAGGCCAGCTCGCGTGCCTCCTTCTCTGCCGCCAGGAATTCCCAGGTACACACACACACATGTTCTCGTAATTTTAGCTTTGTGGGGCCTTTGCATCGACTTCCATTCATTTTTCATTATTTCTACAGCCTGACCCTAAACCTAACCATTACTAGTACATGTCTAACCCTACTGAGATCTCCTTCTGTTGAGAAATATTCAAGTTAATGCCTTTTTAGATAAATCTTGAAAATAAATAAATGTGCAATTTTACACAAAATTCACACTCAGCTATTACTTCATCACATTTTGGCTCAGTATTGATTATTTATAACCATTTATGTGTTTTCAGTGGTCTGTTAGCTCAGCAGTCATCTTATATCAGTCGTGGATGAAGAGCCAATTTATGAGTTTCAGTAAAATCCATTCAGATATTTAGCTACGCTATAGACAAGCTAACACAAACAACATAAACAGTAGTGCCTTCAGCAGCAAGTGCTAAAAAGTTCTGATTGTGATGAATGTTACCATTAAAACACAGTTAAATATATATTTTTAACAATTTATTTTAATAATTGGACCAAAACAGAAGATGTGAAATTGTGGAACATCAGATTTCAGCAAACTAAACCACTTTGAAGCCGTATGTACGCTTCTTTAGATGTGTAACTTTTAAGCTCATGCAAAAATCCTCCACTCGGGTCAAAATTAGAATAATTTAAAAATCTGCTGATGGATTTTTAATTTTCTTGTGATTAAAAGTTTTTTCTTCCCGTCTAAAGTCTCCTTAACCTTTGTTATATTTTCTCCCTTCCACAACTAAACAAAAGGTGACCTGGTTACCATGGTAACAAGCACAGGAAACTGCGAGTCTCATCATGTAACACGGTGTGACAGCGGTTCTGTCGCTTTAGGTTGTCTGTTCAGACCTGGAGTCTTTATGTTCTGAGTTTTGATGTGTGACTAAATGACAATATTACACGTCTCCTCCTCCCCCCCTCTCCACTCTCCCCCCACCTCCTCTGTCATCTTCCTGCAGCAGAAGACCCCCGGCTGCACCCAACAGACCCACCGTCGTTCGTCCTTCGGAGCCCTCGCTGCTCGACTAGAAACACCTGGTCTGACCGGACCGTTCAGACTCTGTTCATACGTTCAAGCAGAAATATTAGGAACTAGATTTACTCCGTTTGAATTTCTGACTACTGCATCGGTGAAATGATTCTCCTTCCATTTGAGATTTCATGTTTTGGATGTAAATTCAACCTTTTTTTTTGTTTAATGTGATGGATTTAGTATAAATTTGGTATACATTTGATAAATCTTGTAAAAAAAAAACTGTCAGACATCTTCAAAACCTTAACTGTATGATTTGTATTTTATATTATGTAATATAAATGAGTAATTTCTGAGTTTCTGATGTTTTATGAGGAACTTTACACACTAAGCACTTCTATGTTGGACTTTTTGATAAAATTGGTTTTCTTAGCTTCAAGCAGGCTTCTTGAAATTAAATTGATTTGTGGAATTTATTTACTTCAGTCTGTTTGCTAAGTACTAAAGTGTTTTTATTTACAGTATTTTTACTGTAAGGATAAGGTTTATTATTTTATTTTTATGGACCAAGAAGTCAGAACGCTGAGGAATCGTGCCGACTTCAAGTTGCTGATGCAAGAACACCTGCGAGTTACTTTAAATATTCTGTGAACTCTCATCAGAATTTAAACCATAATTAAGATTTAAAAAAAGAATTCTTCTGTCGTCAAGAGATGAAGTGAATAAAAAAAAAAAGAGCCTGGTGAGTTTTCTTGCAGCATGCTTTGTTTTCTGTGCACAAACGTACCTGCAGTGCGAGCGGTCCTCTCTGTTGCGCAGACATCCAGCGCTGTAAAGAGTTTCACTCCAGTGGGTTCAGGTCAAAACCTGCAGATCCGCCTGATACAAGTACGAGAGCAGCCGAGCAGAACACAAACGTTTCTCTACTTTGTATGCAGCTCAGCAACGCTGTCCTTATTCTACGATGAAGTGGTGGTCACCATGGCAACTAGTCGCTGCTTGCAGCCTGTTTAGTTGCTTTAAGGCTGTTACAGACAGACTTGTCCTAAGATGGTGTTCTGGCGCTGTCCGTCAGTGGACAATTTCTTGTCCAAGCTCTAACGAGAACCCTTTAACATCAACCTTGTCTGCGGTCCAGATCGACAGAACAACAGAAATGTCAAATCCTTTTTCCCAGTAGACCAGGGGTCTCCAACCTGCAGCTCTGGGGCCACATGTGGCTCTCTGGTCCCTCTGCAGCGGCTCGTTCACTTTGACCAAAACGAACCTCAAACTGAATTTTATTTAAATTATTGCCAACAATGAAAGCGCTTTTAATCAGATTTCCTGTCGTTTTCAAATAAGGATAGCATGAATACAAGGAGTAAGACGTGGACTGCGTCATGCTAGCAGTTTGTTGGCCACTTTAAGTGGACTTCCAGTCGCTCCGCGTGATCTTTCTCAAAACCACCAGAATGTTTTGGAACATCTTTAAGAAGCTGCTGAGAAGGAATATAGTGAGTAACTTTGACAACACTAAGAATAAAACACAAAAACAAAGTAAACAAAAGTTTATTTTTCTTTAAAAATGTAATGGGATATCCAACAAACTGCACTAATTTTATACGGTCTTTAACTTACATGAATCTGTTCTTTTCTGTTGTAATAAAATGTAACAATATCGATCAACGTTAGACATTTTTCGTTTTATAATATCACTCCCACTGGCCGGAAAAACCATCAACAACCTTAGTGGTTCACGGGCCACCAGTTGACAGGACACAGCTGGAGCAGGTTTTGCGGTGCTGGTTACATCTGACTGGTAATTAAGCAAAGTGACAAAAATGGCCCTCAAAGGTTGCAGACCTGACCCAAACTGTCTCATCTGTCCAGAACAGTCCACAGTAAGTTGTCCACATGCTTAGGATCAAAAATATAATTCGCCTACGACTCCATGTTGGGGCTTATTTTTATAAAGACCATTTCCACCACTGAAATCTTGGGCGGTACTTGTGAAGTCTACGACTGATCAGTGGTTTGGATCAGCTGGTAGTTAACAGATGAGTTCTTCATGTTTAACTGAACGGTTTGAGGATTTACACCAGGACTATTCAACTGGCGGCTCGGGGGCCAAATCGGGCCCACAGATGAGCTCGGTTCAGCCCCACCAATGGGTTCATTTTTCAATAAAACTACATTTTAAACCGTAAAACGAAGTTAATGAGAATAACCGCTGGATGTCCGGCCCCTGAGCTCTTGGCTTTCAGGAACTGTGGCAGCCCTGCTTTACACCATGAACATCAATATCAGTGAACTTGACCTTTCACCCCACCACAATCGTGTGTATATTTAACAGACGCATGTATTCTGGATTGTTGTTTGAGGGAATTAATTTGGATTAATCTGACCATTTATTGATGGGAAGTCTTTTTGTTCTTTTGCAATATGTTTTCCACAGAATCAGAAACTGGAAAGATTATGTTTGTGATCCTTTCTCACAGACGACCTCCACTGGTCCCTTCTCGTCCAAACCAGTGGTGATGGGAAACCTCATGTACAGTGAGGAAAAGTATTTGAACACCCTGCGACTTTGCAAGTTCTCCCACTTAGAAATCCTGGAGGGGTCTGAAATTTTCATTTTAGGTGCATGTCCACTGTGAGAGACATATAATCTAAAAAAAATAATAATCCAGAAATCACAATGTATGATTTTTTTAATAATTTTTGTGTGTTACTGTTGCAATAAGTATTTGAACAGCTGCCAATCAGCAACAATTCTGGCCCTCAAAGACCTGTTGTCCGCCTCTAAAAAGTCCACCTCCACTTATTATTCTAAATTAGAAGCACCTGTTCGAGGTCGGTAGCTGCATAAAGACACCTGTCCACCCCACACAATCAGTAAGACTCCAACTACTAACATGGCTCAGACCAAAGAGCTGTCCAAAGACACCAGAGACAAAACTGTAGACCTCCACAAGGCTGGAAAGAGCTCCGGGGCAATTGCCAAGCAGCTTGGTGAAAAAAGATCAACTGTTGGAGCAATTATTAGAAAATGGAAGAAGCTAAACATGACTGTCAATCTCCCTCGGACTGGGGCTCCATGCAAGATCTCACCTCGTGGCGTTTCAATGATCCTAAGAAAGGTGAGGAATCAGCCCAGAACTACACGGGAGGAGCTGCTCAATGACCTGAAGAGAGCTGGCACCACTGTTTCCATGGTTACTGTGGGTAATACACTAAGACGTCATAGTTTAAAATCATGCATGGCACGGAAGGTTCCCCTGGTTAAATCAGCACACGTCCAGGCCCGTCTTAAGTTTGACCATGACCATTTGGATGATCCAGAGGAGTCATGGGAGAAAGTTCTGTGTTCCACTCAGTGTTTGGAGGACGAAGAATGATGAGTGCCAGCCCAAAAACACCATCCCTACTGTGAAGCATGGGGGTGGAAGCATCATGCTTTGGGGGTGTTTTTCTGCACATGGGACAGGACGACTGCACTGTATTAAGGAGAGGATGACCGGGGCCGTGTGTTGAGAGATTTTGGGGAACAACCTCCTTCCCTCAGAGCATTGAAGATGGGTCGTGGCTGGGTCTTCCAACATGACAATGACCCGAAGCACACAGCCAGGAGAACCAAGGAGTGGCTCCGTAAGAAGTATATCAAGGTTCTGGAGTGGCCTTCAGTCTCCAGACCTAAACCCTGTAGAAAATCTTTGGACGGAGCTCAAACTCCGTGTTTCTGCAGCGACAGCCCATAAACCTGTCTGATCTAGAGAAGATCTGTGTGGAGGAACGGGCCTAAATCTCTGCTGCAGTGTGTGCACACCTGGTGACAAACTACTGGAGACCTTTGACCTCTGTAACTGCAAACAAAGGCTACTGTACCAAATATTAACATTGATTTTCACACGTGTTCAAATACTTGTTTGCAGCAGTAACACACAAATAAATTATTTTAAAAAAATCTTACATTGTGATTTCTGGATTTATTTATTTTAGATTATATGTCTCTCACAGTGAACATGCACCTAAGATGAAAATTTCAGACCCCTCCATGATTTCTAAGTGGGAGAACTTACAAAGTCGCAGCACGTTCAAATACTTGTTTTAAATCACTGTAGCTTCACAGCAGCTCAACCAACACGACTCTGCTGGAGCAGCTTCAAATAGAAAAGTTCTGTTATTAAAAACTGTTCGGTGCACATTTGTGAAACAACTCAAGCTGTGTTGAACTCACGTCACACTGTCAAACTGAAGGTACACCGCCCTTTGTAACGCTTAAAGATTAAATCACAGAGTATAGTGTTTTAATCATTAATTAGATAAATCTTTTTTTTGTGCCAATGAATATTGGATTATAATCTTTATGTAGACAGTGCGTCAAACCAAATTAAACAAAGCAAAATCAGTGAATCATGTTGAGGCTTTGGTTTTGTAAACCAATGGTTTTCAAAATGGGGGCTATGGCCCCCCAGGGGGGCCACCAGGGGGCGCTAGGTGGGCCCCAGAAAGCTGGAGGGAAGAAGATAAAAACAATAAAAATAAAAAATAGTAATAAAAATTGTCCACTGTACCTGCCATTTCCAGATAAACACGCTTGAGAGAGTTTAGATTTATTTTGTTTAATTTTTCTGGTCAACAGTTTGTTGAAAGGTTTTTTTTTTCCCAGTGGGAATATTATAGTGTTTAAAACATGTTAACATTTTTATGCTGAGCAGCTGTAATAATTTAATATAGTGAATAAACGTTAAAACGTTCTAAAAGTTGATGTTTCTTTACATATTTTGTAGCATTGTTTGTGTGTTTGCAAGTGGGGGCCTGGGCCAGAAGCTAATGCGTTTTTTTTTTTTTTGTTTTTTTTGTTTTTTTGGGGTGGGGGGTGGTGGGGTGGGGGTTCCTTTAACCCCATGAGTTACGGAACTGAACACAAACAGATTTTTATTTCTATAAAAGGGTGTGTTTGACATGACACAGAGCCTAAAACTTTTTTCGGACTTAAAATCCTTTAATTTTCTCAAAAATTGACAGTGAGTCTTATAATCATAATTATGTATTAATTATTAATTCTGGTTGTGTTTACGGACCTCAAACTGATTTTATGTGGTTAATGTGAATGAGTTGAATAAAGTTTGGCTTATCCGACTGTTTTGTTACGCTTAATGTACCTTATGCATGAAAACAGACCTGTTCATTGATATTGCACCTTATAGTCCCAAAAAATACGGTACAGCTTTCCCTAAATCTGACATAAAAAAAGTGAGTCAAAAAAAGCTTTTTGTAACATTTCAATCATTTTTTCATAACAGCTCTAATTCTTCAAAACCAACTTTCTTCCAAGAACTTTGTGTTTAAAAAAAAACAACATTTATTATGAATAAATCCAATGAAAACCTGATTTTTTTTTTAATCTTACAGATTATGAAAACAAATTGGACAGAATCAACATATCAACGCTCGAGCGTACATCAGAAAACTGTGTTTTAACTAAAAGGTGAAAACCTAAAACACTTCACAATGAAAACACACAATGTTCACAGACGTAAGACATGTTTGAGTGAGCACACGAACATAAAGAGCAATAAGACTAAAAGTCCTCCCTTTGTCCAAAAACGACAAATGTCAGAAGACTTGCGACACATAAAAACATCAGTACCCTTTAGAAACGACCACAAAGTCCAAAACCAATTTAAATCCCAGGTAAAATGGCAGCGTCTTCAGCCGTTTAAACCACAAAAACAAACTATTGCACATCGTTGTCCTACGTAAAACCATCGACGTGGCGTCATCGTCCTTCCACCTCGGTTACGTTGCGGTCACAAAAACTCCAGCGTCAGTCAGTTTCAGAAATGTAAATTACAACAAGCGCTTCCTCACTGGGTTTGTGGCATCAGCTGACATTAAAGGCACTAAATCAAACTTCAACTTCCTTAATCCCCACAACCTTTTTAATACCTTTTAATCTTGAATAAAATCTTATTGTTGCCAACTACTCTGTGTCAGACTGCGAAATGATCCCTCTATGTGCAGACCCTGCGCTTATCGTCGAACAGTTTGCGTACGGTGTAGACCTGCGAGAAAACAGAGCGAGAGATCAGGTTCGAGCTGTGCGACGGGACGTGAAGCGGCGCTGCAGTCGGGGCTTTGTTCACCTGGGTGAAGGCCACGCACAGCATCACCAGCACGCTGGCGCACGACCAGAACGACACCCTCCACAGGTTGTCCTCCAGAAGGTTTCGATCCCGAGCTTCGAACGCTCGCAGCACGGTCTGCATCTGCCGGCTGCGCTCCAAACGCTTGTGCAGAGACTCCATGGACTCCTGAGGGGCGAAAGTCACGAAGACACAAACGAGATGAGCTCGGCCTCAAGAGTCTGAGCTTCCATGCACCGACAGCTGACTCCGACTAATCCGTTCCAAATCCACCGCAACCGCACGATTTGAGCGCAGACCATAATACTGCTTCACGCCGTGCTGTAGTTTAGTTTTTCTGCAGAACCTTTGATGTTTCCAGTGGGTTTTAGTGGTTAAGAGTGTTCAGGTAGACCACGGGTGTCCAAAGTGCGGCCCGAGGGCCATTTGAGGCCCTTGCAGTGATTTTGTGCGGCCCACAGCTGCAGTTTAAGATGGAACCATTTTGGCCAGCAGGCTTAACAGGTCGATGCAGACTTGAACAAATTTCTTGGAAATCCTTTTTTTTTTTTTTAGGGATGCACGATATTATTGGCATGGTATCGGTATCAGCTGATATTAGCGATAAAGATAAATATCGAACATCAGCCATTCCATCAAAATAACTCACAGATATAAAAGGTGCTGTTTGTTTAAAATATATATTTATATGGTGTTAGATCATTCGCAGCCCCCTTTTTGGCGTCTGCATTTGATAGCAGGTCAAACTGACAAAGACCATGAAGAGTAACAGGTCTCTCTCGTAAATGAGTCTGTGAGGCTCAGTGGGAACTAAGCTGTATAAATAAAGGTCGAATGAAAAAGATTAATGTAGTATTTTAATTCCACAGCAGAGAAAGCCATGTAGTATCTGCAAGTAAATCTTCAAACCATCTCAGTCTCTCCCAGTTGTTCAACCTGTGCTGTACCTCTGATGATCTCATTCCTAGTCTTATCCATCCTTGTCACTCCTAAGGAGAACCTCAACATCTTCACTTCTGCCACTTCCAGTTCTGTCTCCTGTCTTTTGTTGTCAATGCCACTGTCTCCAGACCATACACCTCATCATACACCTCATCATACACCTCATCATGCACCTTCTGTTTTGCCTTTGCTACCTCCCTCTTTGCTCTACGTTGCATCTCCTTATATTCCCGTCTCCTCTCTCCGTCATATTTCTTCTCGACTAACCTCTTTCATGTGAACAACTTCCTGCACTTCATTACTCCACCACCAGGATTCCTTATCATCCATTCTATGTCCAGATGACACACCAAGTACCTTCCTACCTGTCTCTCTAATTACAGTTGCTGTAGTAGCTCAGTCACCTGGAAGCTCTTTCTTACCACCCAGAGCCTTTAACAGCTCCTCTGAACTCCTCACAACATTCTTCCTTCTTCATCTTCTACCATTTGGTCTTCTTTGATTTTACTCTTCTTCACAACAGTCATTCTACACACAACCATCCGATGCCGTCTGGCCACGCTCTCCCCTGCCACAACCTTACAGTCCCCAGTCTCCCTCAGGTTTCCTCTTCTACACAGAATGTAGTCAACCTGCGTACTCCTCCCTCCACTCTTATAGGTCACTATGTTCCTCCCTCTTTTGGGTTGACAACAGCTATTTCCATTCTCTTGGCAAAATCCACCACCATCTGTCCTTCCTGGTTTCTTTCCCTAACACCAGACCTACCCATCACTTCCTCATCCTCTCTCTTTCCTTCACCAACATGTCCATTCAGGTCTGCTCCCATCACCACTCTCTCCTCTCTGGGAATACTCTCTATCACTTCATCCAGATCCTTCCAAAATGTATCTTTCTCCTCCTCATCACATCCAACCTGTGGAGCATAACCACTGACAACATTTAGCATCAAACCTTCTACTTCTACCTTCAGACACGTCACCTATCCTCACCATCTGACATTGTTTTCACCACTGCTCCATTTCTTTCTATCCACATCATGGTAAAACAGTTTAAACTCTGCTCCAATGCTGCGAGCCTTGCTGCCCTTCCACTTGGTCTCTTGGACATGTAAAGCATTTACCTTCCTTCTCAGCATCATGTCAGCCAGCTCTCTACCTTTGACTGTCATTGTCTCCACATTTAGATCCGTCTCCTGACACATTCCCTCCTCGTGGTCTTCGACTAACAGTAGCACAATTTCCACCGACACCCTGTTTGTCAACAGCAGCGGTGGCGGTCGTTGTTAATCCAGGACTTAACCGATCCGATTCGAGACTTGTTTATTTATTTTGGTAAAAGTGTTTTACGTTGGATGCCCTTCCTGACAAAACCATCACGTTTACCCTGACGGGAGACGGGCACATGCGATACACTGGCTTGTACTCCCTAAAGGCTGGTTTAGTTTCAAAATAGGTCGAACTGTATATTTTCCAAACTGTCAGCAAGTCCCACGTTGAGACCAAAACCAACTTTATGTTTGTCTTTTCAGAATTTCCCACTTCCCCCACTTCTCTCAAACCCAAGCTCAACTTGTTCCTGTTGATAAAAAGACGAATGCACAGAGAAAAAGATCAGCGACTCCCTTTTTGAAGTCGTGCAGAACAAGCAGCTGTGACAGAAGATTAATTTAGATGTGAACGATTACACATTTTAACACAACAGAAATCTGTTTGTTCTTTTTTTTTTTTACATCAAGCTTGCGTGTTTCAGATCAAACAAATGTTACTGTCAGACAAAGAAAACCTGAGCAAATACAAAATGCAGTTTTTAAATGAGGATTATATTTACCAAGAGTACAAATTATCCAAACCAATCTGGCTCGGTGACAAAAAGCAACTGGTTGTGCCCCCTTTAGTGGCAACAACTGCACTCGAGCAGTTCTGACGACCAGCAGTGAGGAGGAACGCTGCTGCTCCGCTTTGGATCATCGTCCTGCTGCAGATCCCACGTGTTCCCGAGCTCAAGGTCCCAAACTTTAGGATGTTCAGGTAGAGAGCAGAATTCATGTTTCCACCAAGTGCAGCCAGTCAAACAGGTTCTGAAGCAGTAAAGCAGCCCCAGACCAGCACACTACCACCACCGTGTTTGACCCTTGGTGTGCTGTTCTATTTCTAAACTGTAGTGTTGGTTTTGTTCCAGATGGAATGAGACAAACATCCTCCAAAAACCTCCACTTTTGTCTCATCAGTCCACAGAAGGTTTCCCCAAAAGTCTGGAGGAAGATCGAGATCCAACAAAGTCCTGTCAGGTCATCTGGGCAGTTTTGTTTTTGTTGTTGTTTGTTTTTTTGGTTATTGAGATGTTTTGTCTTTCATCCAAAGGACTTCATCAGTACGAGGAGCCACAACAAACTTAGTCCTACAAGCAGCAACCCCCACACAGTGAACCAACCAGTAAGCTGGTGATAGATGATTTCTGGGGCCCACCCTCTCCTCCGTCGACTCCTCTGAGGCAGCCATAGCCAAAGTGGTTCAAAACATCAAAGTCCATGTTCAATAATCCAGGTAAAAAAATCCAACAAAGTTAAATCAGGTCATCAATTTCTTTTTTGTTTTGTTTTGTTGAGATGTTTTGGCCTTCATCCAAAGGACTTCATCAGTGGAGGAGCCACAACAAACTTAGTCCCACAAGCAGCAACCCCTCACAGTGAACCAACCAGTTTGCTGGTGATCGATGATTTCTGGATTTCTGGGGGCCACCTTCTCCCCCATCAACTCCTCTAAGGCAGCCATAGCCTAAATGGTTCAAAACATCAAAGTTCATGCGCAATAATCCAGGTAAAAAATCCAACTTATCCAAATTTAGGATTATTGAGCATGGACTTTGATGTTTTGAACACTTTGGCTATGGCTGCCTCAGAGGACTCACCACTGTTCCAATTACTTTCTCCACATAGAGCCAGATTAGTTTGGATAGCTTTTTTGCTCTTAATAACTAAAATCATCTTCTTGCATTTTGTATCTACTCAAGGTTATCTTTTTATATTAAAACGTGTTTACTAATCTAAAACGTTTACGGTTGACAAAAAGCAAAAAACAGAAGACCCTGCACACGGTACGTTCAGGTCCAGCCCGAGTCCTACTCGCACAGATTCATATTTGGATGCCAGATTTAGTCTTCTTGTTTCAACGTGATGCATCTCACCCTGATGTCGTCCAGCTTGTACTCCAGCAGGTTTCCATCAGCCTCCTCTAACCCTGGCCACTCGTCATCTCCGCCCACATCTCCTCCCTGACCCTCGATGATGATCTCGAAGAACACCATCTTCTCTGAGAAGCGACTGAAGCTGTTGTCAAAGCAGATTTCGTAGTCTCCCTCCTCCGTGGGCTCCACTCTGTAAGGGCACAAACCAAGATAAGCATGTAAAACCTGCAGGAACGGTCAGCAACATGAAAGTGATAAGGATTTGAACCACTCACACATGGACTCCATCAGAACGGCGAGACTCGCTGATAAGCCGGACTCCGTGAGGGGAGAGGATTGTCAGGTCGACGTCCATGCCAGCACCTGCTATAACCTGCAGATACAAGACTTTTCAAGGAATGTTCTTGAAGATGAATCATTAGCACCGATATTTTGAGCATTTACAAAATCCCACTTTTTTTCCGCACATGTCAAACTCAAGGCCCATGGGCCAAATCTGGCCCATGTTAACATCTTATATGGCCCCCCAAGATTATACCGTACTTGCCACCATAAACGTTGCGCCGCCGTATACGTCACATCTATTATGCGTCACCGCCGACAACCAAGAAACAAGGGCCGGTGTTGTGCCAAAAATCGATTGGCTGCCAAATAGTGACCGCCTGCATGAGAGGACTTTAACAAGAATTTAACAAGATTAACACTTAAAAACAATTACTTGTTTGCTCAACGTTAAAAGAAACGCGTGTCTCAGTCTAAATTGCCCTTAATGGTCAAATTGGCTGCATTTCACCTGGGCGGCGCAGCGAAATGCAACTGATTTGACGTTTGCTCCACGAGTTTCGGAGCGAGACGAATGTGGCTTAGTATGGCAAGCCAAGTGTCTCATTAATAGCCACTTTCACCTATTAATGAGACACTTGGCTTGCCATATTGGTCGAGGGCCCTCTAGTGGCTGAAAAAGGTAGTGTTCAAAGTGTTTCCCCTAGATAACTTGCCATGGCAGGTCGCACATCTCATCCGTTATTTTTGTCGTGGGGGGGTGGATGGATGGAGACACGTCCTGAGCTGCGCAGCACGCTGGTTTATACCGACAGTTTGGGGGTGGGGGGGGGGGGGGGGGGGGTTGGGACAGCCGCGCGCTGTTTGCACCAACAGTTTTACAGTTTTAGAGCAGAGGTGAGGGAGAGGAGAGACAGAGACACATCTCAGCCGTGCACTGTCTGTGCAGACAGTTTTTTTGGGGGGTGGGTGGGAATAGAGACACATCTGAGACGTGCGCCGTTTATACTGACAGTTTTCGAGTGGGGGGGGGTTCAGTGTGAGGGTTTAGCATGAGGGAAGAGACTGTCTTTAGCTTTTCAGCTAGTGTACCTGCATTGCCAGCCGCTAGTTTAGTGTTACATCAGTGCCGACATGTGGTGTGGGTGGGGGGGGGGGGGGGGGGTTAGACGGGGCGCTCGGTTTTGTTGATGAGCAGGGCGCCCCGCTTGTATAATGGTAGGGGAAACACTGTTCAGTATTTTCCATGTCAGAATGAATGAAATCGTCAGATCTCAGCCAAAAATTGATTTATAAATATGAGAAAAAAACAAATAGGTCGCTTCGCTGTAGAAATGGCAGCGCATGCTAATTTATGCAAAAAACTGCGACTTATACAGTGAAAAATACGGTAATCTAAATGAAAAATATGTTTATTTCTTCTCATTTTGCTTTAAAATAAAAACTAATGCAGGTTTCTTATGACGGATAACTTTTATACCAGGAAAAAAGCTTTGAGTAATAATTGATTTTAATGTGGAGAAGCAACAAAAAACATCAAATGGGACCAATTTAACTCCTGTTTATGAACGTGGAAACAAGAAAACGTGTCAGGACTTGGGATTAAAGCATCGACTGAAATTGGCCCACGAGCTGGAAAATGTTTCGACCCCTTAATTTATGCAGCAGCGTTTGACACTCCAATAGTTTTTTGTTTTCCTCATCCCTTCCATTGCTGCAGAACTACTAGTCACACTCTGTCACCCTATTTTAGTTCCTGTCTATTAAAGCTTTCATCCCAAAAGGCCTAATCTGCTCCGATTGGTCTGTTGGATATAAATGTCCAGCAGCTGCTCTATCTTTCTTTAAACATGTGCTGAACAAGACCCTGGGCAGCTCCTATGCAAACGTTTCATAAATGAGGTTGAACTTCTGGAAGTCCGACTGCAGCGAAAAAAGAAAGAAAAGTTTTACGGGTCGTTCAGGAGAGATGTCATCCGTCAGAGTTTATCGTTTCTTGCAGACTTGGGGATTACAAACTCACTGTAGGCCTCGTTTATTAATCAACTGTTTCATTGTACCTAAACTTTGCCTTAAGTGAAGAGGTTTTTATTTTTAAGCTGAGTATGAACAAAAAAATGCTTACATATTCAAAACGAAACAAACGCATGACTTCTTTTAATTCTAGATAAATGGCATTAAACAAGAATTCACAAGAACTAGAACAATTACACAGAAACTATATAAAAAAAACATGCATTAAATGCGTTGCATAAAGAAGTCTATATTCAATGGATTTATGTTGGCTAAATAAACAAGAACTAACTACTAAGAACAGAATTCATAATATATTTTTTCTTCTTCTGTACTTTAAGAACAGAAGAAAAAACAAATTTGCATCACTTTGGTTTTTCCTACTAAAATGAATTGTGTAATATCTTCATTGTTTCCTAAAGGAAGTTTAAATATGTTTACAGAAAAAGTAAAAAACATTTAAGTTTATATTTTTCTCAACACCGTTTAGAGAATTTTATTAACCGTTATTATGGTTTATTTTGAGAACCGAAAAAAGTAAAGAGAGACAGCCCATGTCATGTTAAGGGGCCTCCCTCCCATTTGTCTTGGAGACTTGCTGCTTGCTCCCTCACTATCCATCCTTTGGTTCAGTCTTATACTACCATCTGGTGGTGAAAAAAAAAGATGCTACACTCAAAACAAATTAATTTCTTCTTAAATTTGACAATAATTACTAATTATTGCCAAGTTTCAAACAATATTATCGTTTATTGCAATAATTTCTGAGACAATTAATCACCCAGCAAAATTTATCGTGACAGGCGTAGTACCAATATCGAAAAAAAATACTTGATCGGGTATCGGTGACTATGTAACCGATCCATGAGGAAAAGAACTGATTGCTGTTTATTTTAAATATCTGCTAGTGAAGCTTTTGTGTTTTCCTCTTATTTCAGCTCATTTATTGTTTATTTTACATTAGATTTAGAATTCCTGAACCATTTGAAAGGTTTGTTGAAGTTTATTTTCTCATGTTTGACCAAGCTCTTGGTGTGTTTCAGTGCTGTACTGGGGCAGAGTTTCCAATGAATCAATGAATTCAGTACATTTATGTCTGCGTTTAAAAAAAAAAAAAAAAATGTTTTAAGTTAATTCAGCACAGTTTTTCTGTATCAGATCGGGACTGGATCGATATATCGATACCAAACCCCGTGTATCGGTATCAGAAGTGAAATAAGTGGATCGGTCCCTAATTAAGCATCTCATATGTCCTCTTTTAGCTAAGAAATTGAACTTCAGTTTTCTTGAGGTGAACCACTTAAGTGCACATCAAGAAGCTAAAGCTCAAAGATTTGGGAGGTTTGTGGAGTCTTACATGATGTTGCGTTTCTCCCAAGTCCATGGAGAGCACATCTTTGATGTAGCCTTGGCCTGACAAAAATGCATGAATGAGGGATTTTTCATTTGCTAATGACTTTCTTGCATCTTTAACAAGAGGAGATAAAATGAAAAGAAAAATGTAAATAAAAGAACTAGCACAAAATGAAACACCCTTTCTGGCCGTGTGTCGGAATAAACAGGACTCTCTATGGGTTTCATTTTGCAACTTGCTCTACTTTGGATTCTAAATGTAAAATCAATGTTATGCGTTTCAATTTCCCTTCTTGTAATTTAATTGGGGGAAAAAGGGGGATTAGAAACATTCACGCAGCGGGGTTAGGGTTACAAAGAGAAATGCTAACGTTTGAGCAGAAGAACAGTAAAAAACATAACACAAAATTTGCCGTTTGTGTCACTGCGGCAGTGAAAAAGACGAGACGGAAACACAGAAGTGGAAACGACCTTAAACAAGAAAGGCCAAAGAGTAACTACAAATCACTTCACATCTTATAACTTCATCTAAATGTAGTCTTGCACAGTAACACTGATCTCATGTAAAGCTCATCACGGATTCAAACGACTTCCTAACAGCGCCTGTTGTAAATGAACAGCATAGTTTACATTAACACATAACATTAACAGGCCTGTCGTGATAAACAATAAATCAATTAATCGAAGGATAATTGAAAATGATCGCCCTCAGTTTCATTTATCGTCTTTCTCGTTTCTTCGTGTCTCTCTTTCTACTGAAGACACTGGATGACAAAAAGCTCAACTCCGGTGCTCTTCACTGACGCCTCCCTTTCTCTTTAAAATCCACTTGAACAATCCAAAATCATGTTTTTGGATCGTTAAAAGCAGCTAAGCTGAGAAGCTAAGCTACGAGCTAAGCTAACAGGCCGAGCTCGGGGGGGCCCTCCGTCTTGTCAAAGCTCCAAAATTCACAGATGAAACCCGTGCCTTCGTGTAAATTTTTCTCTGCAAAAGGAAGCCGAGAACTTGTTTACTGATTTTTATTAAAAGCTTTGTGTGAAAAATAAAGAGCTCAAACCACAGTGAGTGTCCACCATATTGAGAACCAAAGACAGAAAGCCCATGTCACGTCAAGAGGCCTCCCTCCCATTTTTCTTAAAGAGACATGCTGCTCACTCCCTCACTATCCATCCTTCAGTTCTGTCACGTCAAGAGGCCTCCCTCCCATTTTTCTTAAAGAGACACGCTGCTCACTCCCTCACTATCCATCCTTCAGTTCAGTCTTATACTGCCATCCAGTGGTAAAAAAAAAAAAGGTACTGCAAGCAAAACAAATTAAACATTTCTTTTTAAATTTGACAATTATTACTAATTATTGTCAAATGTCAAAACAATATTATCGTTTACCACAATTAATCGTCCAGCAAAATACGTTATCGTGACAGGCCTAACATGACATAAAAGTCAAGTATTTATAATTATTTAAGAAGTTAAAATGTTTAAATGAACTTGCTCCTCCTCCTTTAATGTATTTTGTAAGTAAAAAAAAAACAAGTACAGTAAACACAAGAGCACTGACAAGAGGAGATTGCAGGACTAAATTTGGCCAAACGGTGGTGTCCATCAGAGGCACGCAGTCGTGGAACACACTGCCAGTTTCCATCAGGAGCTGTGGCACCTGCTCCAGCTTTAAAAACTCTTTGAAACTTTGGCTGAAAACTAACCAGAAGTGCACTCATGTGTAGATTACTTTGTCTATTTTCTTATGGTATTATATCTTTATTGTAATCTCATGTTGTGTTATGTTCTATATAGGTGATGTTTGTATTATTCTCTGCTCTTTTGTTGTGTGGGATGTTTCTTGTTCTTACCTGCCTTAGGACAACGGATGAAAATTAGCTACTGTGCTAACTCCGGCATATTTACATTGATGCTTACTGCTGACATGTTGATTAATATGCATTGTCCTAATTTAAATAAAGAAATAAATGAAATGAAAATGGATTGTATTGAAAACCACCCTTCAGATCAAAACAGATTGGTGAAAATCAACCGGGACTATTCAGTCAAACATTTTCAACAAAGACTAAATTAACGCCACCAACACGGAGCCTTTCCCACTAGACAAACATGTGGCTCTCTAGTGTGTTCATGTGTTCAGCACATTAAAACTGAATGGCTGCTGCTCAGTTTGTCATACTGAAACTGTGCGTTTACTGATGGTCAGTTATTTTAAAATGATTTTTAAAGCAGAAATGCGTACACTTATGCATAATATAGCAAACATTACCATCTATAAAACTTAATTTGGAAATATGGTTTACTTTTTTGAGCTATTTAATAGGAATATGGGTGTTTCTGCTTATTTATTTACATTTTACAGCAACTATTGAGCTAAAAAATGCATTCTTCAGTGGATCATGACAATTTAATTTGCTGTGGTAGATAATCACAACACTAGTTAGTAAAAAGAAATGTTTCCCTTTGTGACGTAGTTCCTTAATTAAAACCAAGCCTAGGTGTTACCAGGACATCCTTTCAGCTGCAGGACGAGTTTAACTGACTCACTGTGGTGATGTGGACTGCTCTCATAAATCTTACATTTCGTAACATTTTGTGACACTACCAGGATGTTATCTGATGAATGGTGTGAATTTTACACACAGCTTTAGCTCTGATTGATAAATAAATAGAAGCACACAAAGGGTGCTTCACTGGGTAATGGAAGTTATTATAATACAGCTAATCGCTTGTCATCAAAAGTGCATTATAAGCATGGTTAAACAAAATATTTTAGGAGATGTGTACCTAGTTGTGGACACAGAGGGTGATTGTGTTTGCTAACCACACTCCTGTTTACCTGGTATTCGACTTCCATTGAACCGTTCTTTATTGCTGTCTGAAAGAAACACTCGAATCTTCCGGCTGGTAGCAAAAACGTAAACTCGCTGTCTTGGCTCGGCCGGAAACAGTGCACGGAACCAGTGCACCACAGGAAGACTGCTACCAGGCCAAGCAGCCGTCCTCTGGGCTTTCCTTTCATCAGAAAAATATCCATGGCGAGAAATATTTCCAAACGCGGTGCTATCTGAGCACAGCCATCCCCCTTCACATCTGTCTTCCGCAGCAGAACTTTGCGCTGTTCTGATTGGCTGGAGGTCGTATTTCTCCGGACCAATCAGAGAAGGAAGCGTATCAGGGCTCATCCAATCACAGCAAGGCTGGGTTTTCACTTGAGCTGCACTGGAACAGAGGCGTTGATGAGTTTTGATACACTGGGGGGCATAAACCCAACCAGGAATATGAAATTGAATTCATTCAGACTATTGTTTTCCTGTTAATATTTTTCATATTCCTATATGCAATACAACTACTTTTACTGATACTTTGTGCCATTTTTAGCCATTTGTATACAAAAATATTCAGCTCTTTCAGGAAATTGGTACTATGTTTTTTTTTTTTTGTAATAATTTATGGTTCTAAAAAAACAAAAACATTATATGAAAAATATTTTATAAATATTCTCCATTTATTTATTTTGACCCATTGCATTTTTTTTTTTTTTTTTTTTACCTTGACCTCTCTAAGTGGCTTTAAGAATCTGTTGGACTCCTGGAAGGGATCAATGCAGACATGTTCCTGTTTTTAGTTTTCTACATTCGCCCTAGAATCTAGATGTTTTTTGTTACTTTTCTTATCTTTTTACTTTTCTTTTTTTTTTTAGCCATCCTATTTGTTTAAAAAAAAAAAATTGTATGACTTTTTATAACGGGCAGCACGGTGGCGCAACTGGTAGCGCTGCTGCCTCTCAGCGAGCAGGTCCTTGGTTCAAACCCCGGTACAGGGGCCTTTCTGGGTGGAGTTTGCATGTTCTCTCCGTGCATGCGTGGGTTTTCTCCAGGTACTCTGGTTTCCTCCCACAGACAAAAAACATGCATGTTAGGCTGATCAGTAACTCTAAATTGTCCCTAGGTGTGAGTGAGAGAGTCAATGGTTGTTTGTCTCGCTTGTCTCTATGTGTCCCTGTGATGGACTTGCTATCCATCCAGGGTGTACCCCGCCCCTTCCACAGTGATTGCTGGACATGGGCACCAGCAACCCCCATGACCCAAAATGGAATAAGCGGGTAAAGATAATGGATGGATGGATAGTCTACTCATACTTTTTGCTTTTAGCTGCTTTTTTGATACGTTTAGTTTCTTGGTAATTTTTTAGCTTGCCTCTTGGTAGTCTTCACTAGTCTTTTGATACAATTAGCTATAGCCTTTTTCCCACATTTGTCTTTAGATATCATTGTGATACTGTTAGCTTCTTATTTCTTCTTAATTCTTGGCTTCAATCAACAACTCATTAATAGTTTCTACAGCAAATTCTTGCGTGGTCATTTAGAATTAGAAAAGCATGCACACTACGCTTTGGGAGAAATGATAATTTCTCTGGCTTAACCATGAACATGTCACAAGTCCCACTGTTTAATGTTAAATTTAAATTTTATTTAAGTCTGGGACAAGACATAAACAATGTTACATATGCAACAGTTGCCCTGCGCACTGACCTTCGCTGTGCATGTCGTTATTTGTTAATAAAATTAAAACATCTGCTTATCTAATGCATGCATTAACAAAATAACGAAAATCTAACTTGTCAGGCCTCAGTTTGATGAGTTAGATCCTAAAAGCACATCATTTATCTATTGTTATTTATGCTCAAACTTCATCAAATACTTAAAAACAGTAAGTGTACCTTAACTTGTGTATGAGGATACCACTAAAATATAAACCATTTGCAACTAATGTTAGCCCTTTTGTCTTTTCTGTCATTTCTGTGTTAACCACAACCTAAACAAATATTTGACCAACACAAATTGACAAACAGCAAACAAACTGTGGACAAAAGCTTCAGATATCACGAAGTGGAGCTGGAATCAGGCACACAACAGCAAAAAAATGAGGAAGAATATCCAACACGCCTGAATAATATTACGGTAGTTGATTCAGCATCCCATCTGTTGAAGAATTCCCCTGTTTTGTGAATCTGATTGCATCTAGTCGTCATCAGTCGTAACCTATATGTGGATATTATGTTGTTGTTATAATCAGAGGAAGTAAATAACATAGCAACCTTTACAAAAACCACACTGACATTTGGCAGAAATTTCTTACAGTTTATTCAAAACTATCATCTGTTAAAATATAATATCGCATTTGAAAAATATAGGCATAGCAAAGTAATTATTACATAGAAATAATTTTGCAGGCTGTTTTCTTTAAGGTGACCAACACATCACAGGATAAATACAAATGTATCAGATCTGAGATAACACAAAGAAAACTTGGAACAGCTGAACTTATAAACATGCAGTTTAATTATTTTATTTTTTTTAACAGGTTGTGCTTTCGTTTTCTGTTTCATGTGAATTTGTGCATTTTTGTGACATTTTGGATGTGTGAACGCTAAAGTGAAAATTAAGTTCGTACTTCTTCCCACTCCTTTTTCGAACGTGTTTCGTTTTGTTTGTCTTGTTACGTTACTTTATTTCGTTTTTTATACATGTTTGAATGAATAAATAATGAAATTATTAACATTTTCAAACATCACATTGTGTTTTTTTGGGGGGGTTCCCCATCCTTCAGTGTAATGATTTCTGTTACAAACAGAGAATAAATGGAAAACCCCAAGTTCACCCTTGAGTTTATCCCAGAAAAGGAACTGATTCTGAGCTGACAAATGTCTTTCTGTGTCCGTTGTTGTTTCTCATATGCCACCAACACAAAACAAACACATAAAATGTGTGCATACTTACTACTTACACCTCATACCAGATTGTGTGCATTTTGGTTCCCTTTACTTAACGATAAACTTTAGTCATTACCCAGGGGGGACACTGAAAACCTATACCAGTTTTAATTAAGTTTATCAGTTTTGTTGCAAAGGGCAGTTCATAATAATAAATATTAATTTAAATGTGCCACAAATGGCCCAAAGGCTGTTTCTTCAGTACCTGGGTAGGTGTACATGGTATTTAGTCTGAAACTGCATAAACTGCAATAAAGCTCCTCTATATGCAAACAAAACCACTAAACTTTATACCATATCATACCATATCATACCATATCATACCATACCATACCATACCATACCATACCATACCATACCAATTTATTTATAGAGCACTTAAAACAGCAACAAGGCCAACCAAAGTGCTGTACAATAGAAACAAACAAGCACAGCGGACAGGAAAACACAAAATAAAGATATAGATACAAATAGCAGTGGATAATAACTAAGTGGCCAACAATGTAAACTACAGACAGGATCAAAACAAATCCCACCGTGTCAAAGGCAAGGAAATAAAAGTGGGTTTTCAGACGAGACTTAAAGACTGTGAGTGTGGGAGCCTTCCTGACACGCAGTGGCAACTCATTCCATAGTCTTGGACCTGCAACAGAGAAAGCCTTGTCACCTCTGAGCTTTGATAATTTTAATAATAAATAAAATTACAAAATTATCCATTCATCCATCCATCTGTCCATCCATCACAGGATCATTTAAAACAAATAAGACTTTCTCATTCATACCTAATTAGAGTTATCAATTAACTTAACGTGCATATTTTGGTTTGTGGGACTACTCGGTGAAAACCCACTCGTTCACGGGAACAACATACTAACTCCATCCAGAAAGGTCGCAGACCAGAAGGCAACCACGTTCTCACTGAGAGGCAACAGCTCTAATAACTGTGCTGCCGTGCCCCCACCTCTACATTTAAACCAATAATTTAGATGTTCTGAGAAAAAAAAAACTAAATTTCTTCATCACAAAGTGTCAAGCTACAGCAAGGCTGTGAGAAATAGGGGTGCAACGGCTGCTGCAGCACCCCTTGAAAGATGCAATAGGACATGCCTGTCCAATTATAGGGTCAAACTGAATAAAAAAAAAAAACATTATTATTGCTGTATTATATTTAAATTCAAAAAATTTTACACTGAGTTTTGTGATTCTGGTATAAAAAGCAGAATTGTTTATTGTATATACGTATATCAATGTCAAAAGCAACCATTGGTCACTGTTTGAGTCCAACTGAACCCTGAAGATTTTTCCAAATCATTATTGTCAAGCTCTTGAGACAATGTCCTTTGAATCTACGATATAAAACTAGGGCAACTTTATGCTCACAGTACCAAAAATTAAAATACACAAAAACCAAAACAAAGTATCTGTTCTGTTCTAGGGCAGCATTCGCCACAGGGTTTCTGAAATCGGTGCAGGGTGCAATGAAACCTCAAGACCATCAAGGCATTCTGGAGAAAATCAAAAGCTGCATCGTTAGGTTTGGTCTCAGTTGCGAGTCCTCCAACAGGACGAAGACTTTATTTAAATAACTTGTTTGTTTTGAGTTATTTCAGTAACTTTTGTGTGTTTTTTTAATTTCTTTAATGAAAGGGTACAAAATTGTCCACAATTGTTATTGGGTTTGCCATTATGTTTTTATTGATATGGGTTTGAGTTTTTCCAGTTTGAGGTCAAATACACACCATCGAATGAAATGTTCCTTAAATGTCCTACTCGTTTTATTGGTTGCGTTATCTGCTGCCTCATCACTATAATGCATTTAGGGAATTCTAGAGGTTTGCTCAGTTTGACTCATAGTTGTACTAATTTTTGATTACAGTTAGCAAACTGCAGAAGAAGACAGAGCAAGGCGTACAAAGGGTAAGAAATTTTATTTTCAGGTGCAGCAGCTTCAGGGCTGGAAGGGAAAAGGGATGAGGTGAGTATCAAAGTTTAGATTTGCAGCGATGGTTGATAAACAGTAGATAATTCTGTCTTACTGTCATTGTCTTGTAGATGAAAGGGAGATGAGGTCCTAGGTTTGAAGTGAGTTGAAGATCCAGAGGAGATGAGTATCAGAGGAAAGAGGAGCTGGTTGTTTCTGGTGAGCGTTGCTGATTTCATGTACTTGTTTGGTTGTTTAAACTGTAATGGTTCCCAACCATGGTCCTTGAGGAACGCCACCCTGCATGTTTTAGTTGTTTCCCTGCTTTGACACATCTGAGTTGAATAATGGGTGCTTAACAGGCTTTGACAGAACTTTAGGAAATAA